CTCTGGCCTGTACCCCAGTTCTGTATGCACAAATAAATAAATAAATCTTTAAAAAAAAAAAGACAATAAAAAGAAATCATATTTTTGGATTAGAAAACTTACATTGTTAAGATGTCAATTACCCCAAGTTGACCTAAGATTCAGTGCAGGTCTCACATATCAATAGAGGTCCCACAGGTCCAAAGGCCTTCTTTATAGAAATTGGCAATCTGATTCTGTGTGTGTGTGAAATATAAAGGACCTAGAATTGACAAAATGATTTTCTAAAAGAAGAGTAATTTTGGAGGCTTTCCATAACTAATTTCAAGCATTACTTCAAAGATATAATTAAGACAATGTAGTCTTGGTGCAAAAATAGATTTCATCAATGGAATGAAATAAATTTGAGTTCAGATATAAGCCAATACTTATATTATCTGACAATATTTATTATTATCTGACAATAAATCAAGGTAAAATTTTATAAGAATAGTACTGTCTGTACATATTGCTGAGACACTTGCATATTCAAGTGGGAGGAAAATGAGTCTTGGTTCTTACTTATTTTGTACATAAAAATAAACTCAAAGTGAGCCACAGACTTACAGTAAAATTTAAGCATAAAATTTCCAGAAGAAGTCAGAGAACACTTTTCAAGATTTGAGAACAGTCAGATTTTTTAGGTAAACTATAACCCTATCCATAAAAGTTGATAAATTTGACTTTATTAAAGTTACAAATTTCTGCTCTTACAAATATATTGCCATAGATCAAAAGAAAATGCCTGCTATGCATATGTAAGGATGTATATACATTTAGGTCTTGCATTCAGAATATACAAAAAAATCTTGCAACTCAAAGGTAATAAAATGACATTAATTATGTGGGCAAAAAGATTTAAGTGGATACTTCCCAAATACACATATACATGGAAACAATGGCTAATAAGGACATTAAAATAAGGGCCTGAGCACATCCTTAATCAATAGGGAAGTATGAGTAAATTACAACCATGATGAGACATTAGTACCAGTATAGTAAAAATTATAAGAAATTGATTATAGCAAGTGTTAGAAATAAGTGGAGTAAACAAAACTCTCAAAAACTACTGATAGAAGTATAAAATACTATAGCTATTTCGGAAAACAGTTTCTGATAAAATTAAACATATACTTCCATATGACTCTGATTTGTATATGTACCTTAAAGGAATGGAAACCCATGTCCACAAGAAAACTGGTACACTAATGGTCATATAACTTTATTCATAATAGCTCCAAACTGGAAACAGCCCAATAACTATTCATATATGAGTAGATAATTTGTGTCGTATTTATACAACTTACTTAGTGATAAAAAATAAACTACTTACACATGCAACAACAGTGATGAATTTCAAAAATATCTGAGCAAAAGAAGTCAGACACAAAAGAATCTGAGTTGTATGATTTTCTTGTCTATATACTAGCTATAAATTAGTGATAGTTCATAAAACTTGGTCCCCCCATTTATATTATCTTGTTTTGAATTTTTTCAACTATAAATTATATGACCTTTAGTAAAGATATTGGAAATACAGAAGAGTTTAAGTTTATGCACAGTACAACTTAAACATACAATCATGACCAATGATTCTGGTATTTTTCTGTTCATTTATGGCATATGTTTAGGTATAGCTCAAGAGGACTTCCTCAAAATTCAAAGGGATGAGATTAAGTAAATGAAAAAAATTTAAAGTAATGAAATTGGTGAATGAGTCACACCTGAGGGTCAGGTTGATGGGCGAGATAATATTTCAGTTTGGTTTTAGAACAGAAATAGGGGATAATGTAAAAAGCATTGTATGATAAAAGAAAAATATGGATACATTAAAATATATATGCATATGAATAATTTAATGATTAACAGTGGTCTTGAGGAAACAAATAAAATTCTGTGTACCAGTTTCTTTGTTTATGCTGGGAATAGTCATATTTACCTTTTTAATTTTTTATAACGTGTAATGTGTTTAGATAATCCATTTTCAAATACTCTGAACTCTTTAAAAGAAAGGCATTTAAAAATTTACAGCATAATTGAGGTATCAGATTTTTGTCACTCTTGCTATCATGATTATATTCACTATAATATAATAATTTTTGTCTGAGTAATTTCTATGAAAAAGTTTGTAACAAGAAAAATGTCATATAACTGATAGGGCTCTAGCTAGAATCCAAACCTGTATCTGATTCCAGAGTCTAACTTGTTGGCAGTCAAACTGTGTCTGAGTATTGTTTACTTATTCATGTATATGTCATTAAGTTCAAATAGGACAGGGGAGGATGGCCCAGCCATCCTGGAAAGGCAGAAGTGTCTGAATGTTAAAGATTAATCTAGATAGTAAATGCTGTCTAGATCAAGGAGTCATAGAAATCTCTGGCAAATGTGTTACTAGAAAGTTTCAAACAAAATTAAAATTTACTTAAAAAGTCTAAAATAGTTTCTCACAAAGAAGAAAGGTCTCCATCCTAGTCAATTGGGTTCATATTAACATAAAAAGAGTCATTGAAAAGTATTCTATCTTATTTGAAGTGTTTTTAATCAATATTCTGAAATAATACACTTAAGCTGCCATAAAATTCCTTTTATATCCTTTAGTAACATAAAAGTATTCTTTTTCTCATCAACCAACATTTAAAATGCATTTCTTTCATATTACTGGGATTTTATATGCCTATTTAAATACCATGTGGAAATAATCGAGTGCCATTATGAACCCAAAACCAATTCAATGCCAATTTCAAAGCAGTTTATCCACTTAATATTAGCAGCTATGTACTTTTAAGCCACCAGTTTAAATTTTTGAGCCCTCTTGTTTTAATTTTGAGTACACTTCTTTGATGTAAGTTAATTACTTTGGCAGGATTTGGGGTTTTGAGCACTGGGAACCAGCCCTCACTGCACCAGGTGGCATGGAAGATGTCTGGGAGGAAGGCTTAATGTTTCCTGGCAGATGATTAGTATTTTGTCTTTCCTTCTGGGACTTCCATAAACTCTTTCTGATCATTCAGGCTTATACTGGGGAGTTATTTCTGGTTCATAGAGATTAATGCAGGCCCTTCACTAGCTTTATTTCTTTCTAAAGTCTTATTAAAAGGAATCTGCTAATTTCCCTTGACCACATATGTTGAATATGGGCCTCACTGCAAACTCCAATTAACTTTCTTCACCCACTCCTGATCCTGATGCTAGGTGAAGAGACTCTAGCCCCTTGGAAAGGTGACACCGATGAGAGAAAACCAGAAAACATCTCCAGGACACCCCAATGAAGCCATGAGGGCCCAAGTAAGGACCCTGAAAAGGTCCAGAATCTACCTGGAAAGTAAAGAATTACTTGATAAAAAGATAGCAATGAACTAAGTATGAGACACTTCAGAACAGAAAACCTCATTGTACCTGTTGAAATAAACAGCTCATTTACTTCCTTATATTGTTTCTGAAGCAAAGGACTGCTTGACTTACAGCAGGGTAAGGCTTACCTGTCCTAGACATTGGCTGTCCTCCTTCAGTTTAAGTTTGAAGAGCACTGCAGTCATTGATGAAGCTCTTTACCTGCATGGTCAGTGTGTCTTCATATATATGTCCAGTGGGAACAGTCCTCTGTCCGTCAACCAGCACCTTGTCTCCAGAAAAATGTTTTGTTAAACAAAAAACTGAATCTTGCTGAGCTAGAACAAAGAAAAAGTGGTTTATTTCAGGTTTAGGACTGTAGCTCCAAATACAAAGACACAAGAAATCACTTACTGGTGATTTTAGTTATTATCTGGAGATGGAGAGGACTTATATACAAAGAAAGGTGACCACAGTTCACATTCAGATTCGAAATTAGGCTAGGAGTCAACCAACTTATTATTGGTGCAATAATATGTAAACTGGGTGAAGTTAGTCAAACTATGACTGGTTGAGTTTCAAACGCCAGAGTTCTATGACAGGTGGCCTTTGTCTCAATTTCTTCATGAGGTAGCAATGTTTATGCATTTCCCAATATGTCCTTGGTGCCTTGGACATGCCTGGGGCTGGACTGTCAATGGTTTTCTAATTCTGTTGGTTCTATCCAGACTAAGATCGCCCAAACATTTTTCATCCCTTCCCTTCTCCTCTTTGTCAGAGTTTGCAATAGTTCTCTGGTCACCCATCCTAATGCTATCTATACAGCTAGCTACTTTTTTTATGTTGTTTATATGTCACTCTGCAGAGACTCTGGAAATATTTAACTTTGTCTTGCCCACTTAATGATACTTCAGGAACTGGAACTCACATTGAAATAAAAAATGCCATAAATGAACAATAGAGAAAGAAAGTTTCAAAAGACAATATTTGCACATGTGAAATTTTTAAGGAATAAGATTTTCTAAGTAAAGAAAAAGTATCTACTTCCCCTGGCTCCAAGTGCAATTCATGATCACTGCAGAAGATTTAGGAAAATTTGGAGGAATGATACCATATAAAAACTGCATGTTTATTCAGCCCTGTGAGCAGAATGGTAAACAAGTTAGATGATGTTTCTACTCTTATGGATCTTATATTCTAATAAGGCGAATAGGCAACAAGGAAATAGTTAAAGTTAGTAAGTCATTTGAGGAAATAATATAGCATTAAGGAAGAAAAAGTTATGGTTGTGGGGGTTTACTTAAGAAAGCACTTAGGTCTAAATAAGCAGTATTTTAAATGCTCTAAATGTTAAGAAGGGGGAATCTTGCAAAGATTTGGTGGTAGAGCATTCAGGCAGAGTAGAGAGGAGACATGAAGATCCTGAATGGACTTGATGTATTTAAAGAACAGAAAGTTAAGTGAGCTGGGATGAGGTTAATGGAGGAGATATGAAAGGCAGACAAGAACAAGGTCATAAGCACTTGTAGGTGATGGTAATTAGTGCCATTCTTAATCTAAGCGCAATGGAAAAAAAAAAGCCTTTGGAGAATTTAAGCAGAGAGTAACATGATACAATTTGAGCTGTAACAGATTACTCAGTTGTGGTGTGGATAATGGATTATATGGGAGAGGAGTAGAATAATTAGAAAGTTATTTCTGCACTTGAGGCATGAGATGATTTGGCTCTGATAGAGGAAGGGAAAAGAATGGATATAGAATACTTTTTGGAGGGACAGCTGATAGGAATTGTGATGGATTGGATGTGGGTGATGAGGGAAACTATGAAAAACTGAAATCAAGCATAAACGACTAGGTGAGTAATTATAAAATACACTGAGATGAAATATCTCATTCATTCCTCACAATAACCCTATATGAGGTAGATTCTATTATCCCATTTATCCTAAATGAGTCTTTTATTTATCCTATTACTTGCATCCCTATTTGTAACCAGTGTTTCTTTGTTATTATTCCTTTATCTTTTCAACCCCAAAGAGGAAAATTAAACCTTAGGTCTATAGGATAATTTGGCCCTGACATGCAATTAGAAAGCAGTGAGCAGAGACATGTCTGAATCCAGAGTTCATACTTTCAGATTACTTTCATACTGCTCTAAGATTACTTTCATTTATTGACCATTATTTCCTTTCAGTGTTAAGATGTTTTTTCATATTTTAAATAGACCCATGACATATAATTTTGTGAATTACCTTTCTCATCAATTATTTATAATACTAAAGTATTGTTAAACATTCTTCATAGCATTATCATCCATCCAAATTATCATTAAGAGAATTAGGCTTTTGCTACCAGTATATAAAGAAGAGAGAGGTAAATAGTTTCCTTAATGGGTGTAAAGGACGAATGAGAAGAACAAATAAACTTCTTTGATTAACTGCTTCTCTAAGATTTTTACTTCAAAAAATATATATATAACTATATATATACATGTATATATTTGAAAAAGCTGTGATTTTACATAAAGCATCTTGTTGCACACTATTGGCAAAATATTTTAAGAACTGTTTAATTTTATTCTTCAAAATTACCTCCAAACTTAAGTACTTTTCAAGAAAAATCTTTAGAATTCAGCTATGAGTAGTGGAGTAGTTCAACCATTTTTAGTGTCTGGTTTGGAATTGCAATATGTACTCTATCTCACTGTTTTAGTCTGGATTCCTTGGTTTCAAGTGATAGAACTAATAAAATTGGTTCAAGTTATAATAACAAAACTAATAATAGCTATCTTAGACTTGGGTTACCTAGAAAGAAGAATTTGAAGAAAGCAGGAATTTTGAAATTGGGTTAAATGGGAGATGGAAACAAGAGTAGAGAAAAAGGGAAACTGTAAAGAATGATGGATCAGAGGGATATACTGCATTATCACAGTCTCCTGCTTCATGTGGCAAACACAGCAGACCTTCTAGGGAGCTCTCCAGACAGGTCTCGAGGAGAAACTGTGCCTAGAGCAGTCCAGGAATGTGGGATGGAGGGTGTTACCTGCCTGGCTCCTGCTCATGTCCCTACTCATTCATCTTAGTTCGCTCCCCAGGAGTTGACTTCCTTTTCATTTCAAGCTGCATCATGAGGCACCTTCAGTGAGTGCTCAGGAAGTCTGGTGAAGTTGCCAGGGGTGGCCAAGGAAGAGGGCCCTATACCCCCAGAAATAAGGGCTGTGTGGCAGGAGGGAAAGAAGGAGAATCTGAAGAGGTGCATAAAATTTGTGTCTGCTGTAGCATATTGAAATTAAGCAAAGATCTATACTTGGATACTGAAACTTCATCAAAATCTTATACAGCAGCTAGTATATGGCTTTATTTACAAGTGGAAAATTTTCTAAGAGAAGCTGAACCCTAGAGTTCACACCTTAACCAGTGTACTTTCTCTAGAAAGTACAAAGTCTCCGTAGCAGGCTCTGATGGTCATACCATGTATGTACCAGCACTGGAACATTCTTTGTCTTTTCTTTCTTTGTATAAATGACCTAAAATTCAAAGTTCTTGGAAAGAGCACCTGATTGGCCAAATGTAAGTGATATGTCAAGCATGTTAGGCTATAAAAGAGACATTAGTTGAAAGAGTCTCCCGTGACACTTAGATTCATTTTTCTAACATAAAAGAATGGCACATAAAAGAACAGATAGCTTCCTGGAAGATAGTAGGATGTTATAAGGTACAATGTATTTTCAGTAGAAAAAAATTGGCAAATGTTTCCCATCCCTGTTCCTTTTTCTCTTGGTTCAGCACACTGCTCATCATTGTTGGCTAGTTGATAAGTGGTTTATTTTATAAAGTTGTGGTCAGCTTTAATGCATTTCAAAATAAAATATGACTTTTCAGTTATGTTCTGTTTTGAATTATTTATGCCACTACTTCCTTCTTTATGCACATTCTAGATCTGATCATGAAAAAATGATAATACTATCACCATTTATCAAACAAAACTTTTGACACTGTATTTCTTTATTTACGAACACTTCTGTCAGTATCAATCTTTTTGCTACTGTCACAGGTACTATGGGAGATAAGGAAGCGTAGATGTGATTATTGCTTTCTAGATGTGTAACATCTAATATAGGAAACATAACACAAAATACATATAAATGTGTAATTAAAGGTAAAATTATGTGTATGTGCATGGGAGTAGCATGGCTGAGAATATAACCTGTGCTAATGAGAGAGGAACTATGTATAATGTGTAATGTAAATCTTGAAAGAATTTCTTTGATCTGGGAAAGAGATGAATTGTAGTGTGGCATCTGGTTGATCTATATCCAGGCTTTGTTAGCCTAAATTACAACTTTTGCTGTCCATCTGTTTCAAAAGATAGGACAGAGACTGATTTATAGTCTTTATCAGTTATTCTGTGTGTTGTATAAAGATTTTTCCCCAAAGTTATTCCCCTTGGCCACAGTCCTAGCATGCAGCCAGCCAGGGGTAGTGCTACGGCACTGTCATTTGTAAATGGCACAGGCTGGCCTGTCCATCTACTGTTATCTTTCCACTACTAATATCATGAAATGCCTCTGGCAGCATAAATAACTATTGCTAAGCTGTAAAAGAGAGAGTTATTAATATTGTACAAATTGCATTCTTTTAATTTTTTTTCCCTAAAGGGACAAGATCTCACTATATTCTGGAAAATGTATCTTTAAAACTTCTGACTACCGTGTAGTGAATGAAGTGAATTAAGAAACCCCATTGCAGCTGGAAATTTTGATTGGTGGCTTACTTTAATAAGTTTCAGTTTATTTCTAAGATGCTCATTTTCTTTAGGAATTCAATTGATTGAGGCAGCCTAACTCCCAGCAGTAACTACAAGAAATTAGATTTTACTGTGAAGTATAAACAGGCCTGCGATTGATGATATGACACTCTGAACATTATCAAGAGGCTGCCTGACTGCTTTGTTGTTCAAAGTAATTGACATTGAAAGCTTTTGAAAATTGAGGTTTGCAGGAGCAGGGCCAAGTCAATGATGCTTTGTTTCATCTGTGGTATTTAAATAAGATATTGGTTGGCATGTTCTAATACCATATTACGAAACCCAAATTTAGGAAGATATACTCCTCACAACAGCAGAAGTTAGAAAGGATAAAAATAAAACTTATACCCGGATCCATGTGTTTTTTTTTTTTTTTTTTTTGAGGAACAGAGGAAGAAAGGAGTTTACAGATACCTCAGACTGAGCTTTATTTGAAATGGGTTTATTTCCATGGGTTGTTATTAACTATGTTTAATGTTCTCCCTTTTTGATGGTTAAAGATGAACTGTTCTGTTTTGTTTTATTCTATTAATTTAAAAATCTTTAAAAGTGTTCTTTTTTTTAAAAAAGATTTATTTATTTATACAGACCTGGGGTACAGGCCAGAAGTGCAGGAACAGTGAGAGGCTTCAATAGAGTGGGGAGCAGAACAGGCAGATTAATGAAGTACACTGCTGAGGGGTGCAGGGGGTAGATCAGGAGAGGTCTGCCATGCCAGGTGGGCCACCTCCGGGGCCGGGGATCAAACTTGCACTGAAGCTTGTGCGGCCAGCTTGCAGTGCATCCTAACCCGTTGCACCACCAAGGAGGGCTCAATATTCAGTCTTTTCTCCCCACAAGTTCACACATTTTCACCTTTTACTCCCTTAATGACAAGAGATAACTGGTTTGTGACACTGATTTGCATAATTCAGGGGGTTCCTAGTGAGTATGCAAGTCTTAGCTTACTAACAGAGAACAGACTGGTGTTCTTCAGATCTGCTATCTCAATATCATTATTATTAGTTTCAAACTCTGGCCACACACTTCAGCAGTTGGTGACCTACAAAGTATTTTAATACCTTGCTAGGACCTGACACATGACCACACTATCTGACCCACCATTAATGTATCACTACTTTTCTCTGTGCTTTGTTTTTCTTATTCTCAAGCCCCTTACAATTTAAAAATTGTACATGCATGTAGGCTTCAATCATGCAATATAAGAAATTGCCTTTTTTCTCTACAGCAACTATCTAGTCACCATCCAACATCAACATTTCCTCCTTCCTTCCCCTCTGATAACTGCCATTCTGTGTCACAGTCTAAGATCTTGTTTTTGTTTTGTTTGACTGCGGTTTTCCTTATTCCACATAAGTGAAATCAGATGATATTTGTCATTCTCCTTCTGACTTATTTCACTTACCATAATCTTCTTAAAGATGTTCCATGTGTGGCAAATGGCAAGATTTCATATTGTTTATGGCTGAATGAGTAGCCCATTGTGTATAAACATGTCACATCTTCTATATCCATTCATCTCATCTGTCACAGGGGCACTTGTTCTCTATCTTGGCAATTGTGAGCAGTGCTGCAATGAATATAGGGATACATATCTTTTCAAATGAGGGTTTTTTATATTTTTCAGGTAATTACTCAGAAGTGGATTACTAGAACATATGGTAGTTCTATTTTTGAGGAATCTCCATACTGTTTTGCATAGTGATTGTACCAATTAATACTTCCACAGGAGGGTTCCTTTGTCTCCACACCCTCACCAGCACTTATTATTTCTTATTTCTTGACTTTTTGATAATAGCCATTCTAACCAAGATCTTATACCTCTAGATCATAGACAATGTTGTAAACCAATGATATATGTAATATTCAGTATCATATTATTATTGTGTATAATATAAAACATTGGAAGCATGTTAAGTCATAGTTTTTCCAACATCCAATTTTGAGTTTGATAATGGCGCAGGAATATGATTTCACTATTTTCACTGGTATCAAGTGAAAGTATTATGGTTACTCCTTGAAAGTATTCTTTCTTTATTACCCATGTTGGGTCTACCATCCATTAACACATAATAACCTACTATGCTATAAATTTCAGTATGATATAAATACTAAATTTATACTTGCTATCCATTTCAGTCATCAGAGCACTAGCCTATAAATTCCACAAGAGCATCACCTTTGGTTTGGTTTGATCATATGCTCAGAGCATCACACAGAAGAGATGTCTATTAAAATTTACTGAGTGAACTGACTACTTCCATAGTAATGATTTAATATATATAGAAACGGTGTCTTTCAGTTTTTTATTATTACATTTGTCAGCTCTACATGTGAAAGAACACAACAATAAACTTTAGCAGAAAGAACAGATATGTACCAATCCTAGAATGGAAGGTGTGTGTCTGGCTATAGGGGCATACTAAAGGCCCAAACTGACAGCTTTTCATATGTATCTCTTATTCCTGATTTGTCTCATTCTTTTCCATGAGGTGAATCATACTCACAGAGTGCACCTCAATTCACATTTCAGTTCTGCATTAGAGAGAGACTACCTTTTTCCTTAGTTTCAGTTTGACTTGAGTGTTTCATTCACTCCAATTGTCAGAGCATAGGGTCAGGGCACAGGAAGTCTTTTATCAAGGATTTGTTAGCTCATGTTTAAAAGTGGATTAAAGAGAATGTTTTAAAAGTATGGTTCTTAAACATTTCTTTTAACTTGAATTAATTTGTAAATCTTTTGATGTAAAGCCAAGACTTTCTATTGTTTTGGTCTAGGACATTGGTTTGAACTGCTTTCTTCTTGAGAAAATCAGACCCTTCATACATCATATTTTGTAACTGTTACTTCAATAAAATGGAACAAAAATTTAAAGATAAAATTTGATTGATGTGACAGCTCTGTGTGTGTGTGTGTGCGTGCACGCATGTATGTGTTAAGGAGAGAGAAAGAGAGACTTACCTCATTTATTTCCTCCCCAAAGTTTCGGGATACATATCACAAAAATAAAGCCTACATTCTGTTGCACTCATTTTATGTTTAATATTTAATGAAACTGCATACTTACAATAACTAGTAAAGCTGGCATTAAAGGCCTGGGAGTAAATGTAATCGACTCTTGATTGGTATACAACTCAAAGGGGCAATTGAATGACAGACATTCTGAGCGATGCCAACTCACTACAGTGTAGAATGCCTTTAGTGCCAGCTGGTCTTGTTAGGAAGGGAATGAAGAACATCTGTTGCTGTGGCAATTTGAGTTTAACAGAGATAATATCTCTGCCTTTGAGTCTATTTTGTGTGTGTAGGCACCAACATGGCCATTTAAAAATATACAATGAAGAATCTGATATTTCACAATAAATATCTGTATTACAATAGCAAAGAGGAGGAAGTCACTCATTCTGCCCATGGTTAGGAGGTCATTAGAGTTGCTTCTTTTAGAATAGTAGTAGGGAGAAGAGAAATGGCAAGGAACAAAGCAGAGGTGTATGAAAGAATAACATAACTTACAACCACTTCTAGAGTCCCAGCTTATGAAAACCTGAAGAAATGCCATAATAATTTGTAGAAATTGACTAACATATACAAAAAGTATTAAGGAAATCACAGGATTTATTTTAGAAAGCCAACCAAACAGTATGGGCCAAGTTTAATGCTGTTTTATGAACACCTGAATGATAAATATTCTGCCAGTGAATTTATGTGACTCTATGCACAAAGTCATTTGTAGATAAAGCCAAAAATCTGTATGTGAAGTGCTTATAAATGTTCTAACACAGTAAAAATGCTTTCCTCCGTGCATGGCTCCTTCTTATAAACACCTCGAGCCTGGTATACTAAGGTGACTACAATCTAAAAGTGACTGGGGATGGCATGTCTTAAAGAACTACATTAGCCAAGCAATAAAGTAGATAGGAGACAATTCATGCAGGACCTTATAGTCATGTTAAAAAATTTGTAATAAAGTTAACATTTTTCCCCTCTCAGAAAAAAAGTGACTCACAGTCACAAACTAATACCCATATTTTCCCATTCCTTACCTCACTCTCGTATAAGACTGTAATCCTCTCTTAAAAACAGAGTGGTTCAGAATTAAGGTGCAAATTATTATGTATTCATCAGATTGGATAATAAAATACAGAAAAATATCCTCAGTTGAGTAACTTGGGATATGGAATGATTATGCCCCAAAGATAAAATTTTGGCTTAGGTTGAATATGAAAATGTTCAAGGAAATACTAATATTAGAACTCTGCAACAAATTCTGAGCTAGATAAAGTATCCTAGAATCTCACAGTCTCTACTGTTCTACAAGTCACCACCTTTATCATTCATTCTGACATAATCTAAAGGGATTTGTCTAGCAGTGTCTCTTCCTGTGGCACTGTATCTTTACTCTAGCAGCTATGACTTGTGGTGATAGATGTCACAAACATACACAGACAGCATGTACATAAAAAGGTTGTGGTGTCTCAAGGGAAAAAAAATAGGCAGAGTGATGTTAGCTGTCACAGAATGTGATGATCAAGATTATTTCCTCAAACTTGTTAATAACTCCACATTTTAAAGGGAAAAAGGAAAAAAGGAATACACTTTTAGAAACATCAAAGAGAATAACCTTTAATTGAAGGAAGTATATCTGACAGTAAGTCATGGACAGATTTATAAGAGGGACAAATACTGCTATAATGAGCACCCATAAAGTGGAACAAATCATGAGGTAGTTGACAGTTTCTCAAGCATTAAAACTTTCCTTTTAGCTTTGAGTCAGAGAGTTTGATTTTTTCAGGCTTGACCAGGCACTGACAGGACTAAAATGTTGACACTCAACATGACTGACTGATGGATTAAGAAAGATTTAAAAATCTACTTGTTGTTTTTAGAGACATGTAAATGTAACAATGTTTGAAAAAATTTTAATTAATTTATCTTGATTAATTTTATTTTCCACACAACTGTAAGATTAATTTGTATGATTAAATGATAGGATTTTGAAATTTAATTACTTATCAGTAACATGACAGAATTTAAAAGCTAATGTAAAGTGGTAGAGAGGACAAAGGTAATGAAATATGAAGGTTAAACTTTGGGATTGTGTTAATGATCAGACTCAGATTCAGTGGTCCTCTGCTTGACATTAAGAGATACAGCTGTGAACTGAAGTTTGTGGAACCAGTTCCTATTTACAACTTGTCCATTTTGAGGTTAGAGTTTCCACTTTTGCCCAGTTATAAAGGGGAGAACATCTCTGTTCTGTTTATGAATGGATTGTGAATAGAATGGAATGACATGAGTAGAATGCTAATTTTTCTAAGTTGTTTTGAATAAGAGAATCTTTAAAATTGTTGTATGTGTTACCACTAGCATTTACCAATGCTAGTTTACATATATTAGTCTGTTTTAGGGGATAGTGATAGTTCAAAAAGGTAATATTTTTTGCTATGACCAACAATTTGAAATTTGTTATATATAAATTCATGTAAATTTAAAATATGAACTTAATATCTCTATATGTTTAGTTTTATTTTTATATAAATATCTATACAAATTCTATAAACATACATATAAAACAAAAATCTCATAAAAAAAACAATATTCTTAATCATTAGTAATGCTCTCTGACAAAGACTTAGCATATAAAGGATTCCCAAATCAGTATGTCAATACCATCTTGGTCACCCAATCTCATAAATTTCATAAAAAAAAAATACCGTACCTATTAGCAAAAGTAATTACCTCATCAGACATCTCATGAAATAGTGTCAGATCATGGGGTCCAAGGAGAATACCAAAGGAATCAGTCTCAGAAATGGAGTGAAGCATCCCAAAGGGGAGGGATAGAAAGCAGAATCTGGGGGATAAGAAGTTGGTGGTCTCTGTCTAGCACTGCAGGCCTGGCTAGTCCTAGGAATTATAAGAAATTAACAATAGTGCTTGGCGGGGAAGGGTGTTTGCTGAGAATATTTGCCTTATGAATATTTATAGAATAGCCCATTCTATTATTTCACAATTTAAAAAAATCTGACTTCTTAGGTTGGCAATCCTCCATCTGCCTTTCTGTCTCTCCATTTTGGGTCCTGGGAGAGAGATTTTGATTAGCCAGATTTGAACGGCTTGTGTATGCCTGCACTAATCTGTTGTGGACAAAGAATAGGAAATAAGATCCTATAGACAAGATATCCCATTTTCTATTCCAAATTTTCTACATCAAAGAGGTTAATGCCAGCAGGTAGGGGTTCTATGAAACAAGAATCCTTCCATCTTCAGTATCATCTACCAGAAGTTTAAATATTCTTGGGATTTGGGACCCCAGTCCCAAACTTTACAAGGGCTATACACCGGGGGATATAGACAAATTGAAAGTGTTACCTGATTTACTGGAGGAGAATTCACAAATAGAAGGATGAGTGATTGCTCACAGTTTCCTGGGGGAGTCCAGGAAGAGACAGTGCTACATCAACACCTTCTTATTCCTAGTGTATGACACCATTACTGCTTGTTCAACACAGTGACTCAAAAATCTTATCAAAACTTCTTTGCCCATGTCATTCCTTCATAGAAAAGCC